CCTGAAACCGCTGCTCGGAAGCCCAAAGTTGCAGTACATTGAGTACACGCTGCCATCACAAACAGCAAATAAACGCTCATCTGCAGCTTGGCATGTTAGGACAGGACACGAGGAAGTCCCCAGCACCATGGTATGGTGGGCTGCGAGCAGCAAACCGTTTGATTGCAGTATCATGCAGTGCTTTAGAACAAACTTGACAGAGAAAGAATTAAAGCCCAGATGTAAGCGGAAAATGTTATACAAATCAACATGGCTAACAAACTGACAAGGAACATGCAACAGTAACTTAATACTTCTTTCAGTAAGGTGCTTGATTTAACAGGGAACAGAAAGGCATTAAATCATGTAGCTGCTCTTTGGTAAAGCATTTCTTATGAGGCTGCAGTGGGAAATTTTTAGTGAAGGTGAAGAAATCAGAGACAAGGAGAAACACATAAAAGAGAGGATCAGGTGGAGTAGAGGTGGCAGTGGTCACTGGCAAGAAGGGGAGTGTCTGAGTGCAAGGCAGCAAAGTAGATTTCCTTTAAGGATCACGAGGCACAAGTCTTCCCTAATATCTCCTTAATTAGCCTGGCACAAGGGGAGGGCTGTGCGCATGACATGTCCTTGCCATGGGCACTGCCACTTGGTACCTTTCCTCACTGCGATCCCATCAGGCTCTGATTGATCTAAGCAGCCCCAGGGCTTGGATCTGCATTTAAGATGTTGCTCCACATTTTTCTTCTTAAGCAAGGCAAGCTTCTGAAAACTCAACAAATAGTCTGCTTACATAAAGTCCATATATATTTGCCTGCAGTCAGATCTGTGGCTAGATTCAATTTTGAAGAAGAAACACTGGACCTTCACTCTTTGTATGAGATGGTACTTGGCATCCTTGGATGGTGCTTGTCATCCCACCAACAGCTTGCTTGCATTTGCCTGTAGACTTTCTCCTTGAAAGCTAGTTGCTGAATGACCGGCTAGAAAACACTGCCTTCTGTCTGTGCTAATACTAGAAAAATGCATATTAATCTGCTCTTTTTTCTTATTTCTCTCTTTTTTTTCTTCTTTTCTGGTGGGAAGGTGTTTGTGTAGGGGATAAGTTTTCATTGTCTTCTTTTCTACTTCCAGAAGAGATGAGAAGTTGGCTCTGTACAACCCCTGGAGCAGCACACGGGGCATCTTCCAGTCCAGCTCTGCAGTCACAGCGGTGACGATAAAGTCGCTCCACAGCAGAGCTGCATTTGCTTTATTTCACTGAGGCACTCGCAGTGCTGGGTGCTCCTTTCCAATGGGCAGCGGACATACAGCTCTGTCTTTTCACATGTGATTATAGTCTTCATAGTTTTAATTGATAAATGAAATGAGCTTGAATAGTCCAGGACTGCAAGTTCTTAATAAAAAAAAAAATCATATCCTCCATTAGAGAGAGCAATCAATAGCACTTAATGGTTATAATATCCTAGTTTCTGCAAAAGGACTCTCAGAAAAAGATGCTAGCAGTACAGAAAGGGAGACTGAGTGTTACCTTCTTCTGGTGTATACAGCAGATCTGCCTTCATCTATAAATATTAGCTTTTAATTAAAGACAAAATGATTTAGAAAATACCAGGTGTTTGTTTAAATACTAGTTGTCACTCATAGGAAAGTAGGGATTAAAAAAGAAAAATGTCTGAGCACTTTGTAATAAAATATGTAGCTGATCACACAGGGTGTTTCTGCTGCACCTCACTGAGTGTGAGCCCAAAACTACATGTGCCACCTAAACTAGAGGGAGTGGAGGAAGGGGATGTGCAGGGCTGAAAGCATAAATGCACCACAAGCCTCAGCAAGTTTTTCTCTGTATATATTTATACAGATATATATGTGTACTTTTTGTATATATGAAACATGCTTGATTCGATAACATACACTTTTACAAAAGAAAAAGGAAAAGCGGTTACACAGAAAACAAACACAGCTGGAAGGTGACCCCCATTGCGTCCCACCCTGCTGCCTCCGGCTGAAACGAGGACCACCCCAGGCTTGACTGCTGCATCCACACCTGGAATTACGGCTAATGACACATAGTTTAGAGGCAGGCCTGCCGCTCTGCATCTTCCCTGCTGGAGCACTCCTCTCCAAACAAAATCCCAGGGTTTAGATCTTCTATACCAGAAAACACTCAGGCTAGAGCTGAAGAGGTAGTTTTACCCATCATAATTGTGTTTTTCCAAGACTAGTAACAGTAGTAGGATTTGGTTTCCTAGACGTGAGCAGAGTGTAGGCGGGGAGGAACAAGCAGCCTGGCTGCCCATTCCCTGCCATGCTGGATCTGCGGAGCTCCAGGCAGCAGAACTTTGATCCGATCCCCCTGGCTGGGCTGTCTGAAAGGCCTGAAGCTTGGACTCTGCCAGAGTCCTACCTAGCAGCAGAATGAGACTGTGAAGGGAAATTTCTCCTATGTTTTGTTTCCTTTTTATTGCAAATTCAGTCTATTGTATTTTATGTTGCGTAGAACAACCAACATGGCAAGTAGCTGAGTAGGGGCTGTGCTCCTGCAGCTGGAGAGGCTTCAATACACATTTTTCCAAAGGGACTTTTTTAGGCTACATAACGAGCTGGTTTCTGAAATCAATGTGATTTGGCTACAAAGAAGCTGAGAAGAAGCGTTGCAAGGACCGAAGGATGGCAGCTTTGTGCATTTAGTGCACTGCAGGAATCAGAAGGGAAGCTGCTTCCACAATTTGCACATGGCAAGAGCTCAGAGGATGTCATTTCTAGCAGGAGTAGCTGCTAATGAGTAGTTTCTTTCCATGAAAAAGCCTGACCCATGGAAAATCAGGAGAATTAACAGATAAAAGTACCATAAGTAACTTTTGCCGGTTACAACCGCAGCAGTGTCCAAGAGGCCTAGCCAGGGATCACTCCTCATTGCTTAATACTTCAGGCATCCAATGAGAGTGTAAAGAACCCAGAAGGAAACTCCATTCGTGTTATGAATGTTTGACCTCTATGTGATTTTTTTGTACATAATTCAACCAGAAGCTCCCACTAAAATAGCCTTAGATAACTCCAACACCCATCCTTGCCTGATAACATAAGACCCTGTGCATTCTTACCCCTCAGATTTCTGCTCTGTTGTTGCTGCTGTTGTCTCAACAATATCATGTCTGGGCAGTACAGGCTACAAAACACTAAAGAACTGCAAAGGCTGATTTATTTATGTATTTTTGGCAAGGAGCACTGTGTGGGTCTGTCTTTGCTCAGGTATAAAGGTTTCATTCAGCACATGGCTTTGCCACGTGGCACATTGCGGTAAGTCAGCAGGTGCGGCGCAGGTCCAAAAAATGATGTATCTATACATGGTGAGTGGCAGACTTATCCTGGGGTGAATCAGCTGCACTTTTTTCCTTCTTTCTAATGTGAGCTCCTGGATGCACAGGCACAGCTGCCTCATTTGCAGGCAGCTGCTGTGGTGCACAGTGCTCCAGCTCTGCGCCTCGCGTTCGCTTCCCTCTATGTTCATCACCCTAGGACTCGCCTGTTTGTTTAGTGATGCTGATACATGGTGTGATCCTGTGGCTCATCCCACTTTCACTTGCATGAAGATGTCTCTACTGGTATTTATTCCCTTCTCTGTATTAAATGTAGAGCAGAATAAATCATTTTCATGCTAGTGTATTTGTACTCATACTGGTAAGGGTGGGTGTTAATTTATTCAGTGTGAAGTCTAAGCAGCTGTGGGGAACAGGCAAGGCCTAAGGAGTTTAGGTTACCTTCTCCTTTTGTGTCATTTAGGGTGAGGAACCTTATTCTGACAACCCAAACAAGCCTTTATTCTCATCTATAAGTGCCAAAATGATTTTAAAAGTCTGGCCCTATATCATGCTAGAACATTTCAGTCTCTGTCTGCTAAAGGATAGTCATAGGGGACTTCCACAGGCATTTAACAACACTGAATCCCTTTGCCTGGGTGGTAAACCCTCTTCAAGTCATTTAAAATCCTGAGCATGCAAAGCTCTTGGTTCTGTTCAAGCACACAGGTGGATACAACCAAATAACACTCCAGTATTGCCATCAGAGTGAGACTCTGAGCTCTGTAACATTCCCATCCTTCGAAGCCTAGACATATCCATGACAAAAAGGAGTGAAAAGATCAAACCAACAGAAAACCTTACATGGGAGAAGAGAAAGCCTATTTACACTGGCAAAATCGAAGTGAGGCTTTTAAAGGTTCCTGTATGCAAAGATGTTCTCATAGGAGCACTGCTCTGCCTCTGGCATTCAGGTAGGCATCCAAAGCTCGCTGAAATCAATGGATTTTCTTGATCCATGCTGTTGGGGCTTGGATCAGGCCCGGCATGAATACAAAGCAACATCATAGGTACAAGAATACTGCTAGTAATGCTAATGGCCCAGTGTTGCTCTAACAGATTGCATACTTCTCTAAGTAATTGCCCGTGTTCATATATCATGTTATTATCAGCAAGATGAATTTGCAATGTGTCTCCTGGGATCCTATGTCTCATCACTGGCAGAGTGAAATGAGGAATTGCTCTTCCCTTCCACCTCCATGCTCAGCTCCTGGCAGCAAAGGGAGGCAGCCTAGAGCCCTGGCTGGCTGGCAGGAAGGGCTCCTGCGGCCACGGGCAGCCTGGGCAAAGAGGAGTGCTGCTGTCTAAGCTGAAGGGAGGCATTTTGTGCGTTCAATCAGCAAGGTCCTCAGTGTGAAAAGGACTCGGTGGCTCTGGGGATGGCTGTAGAGCTGAATTATTGAAATACTGCAACCCGTCCAGCTGAAGGTGCCGCAGGCTGGGACGATCCGGTCTGCTCCCGTGGGTGCGCCTCCACCACCAAGTGCTGCTGAGGCTGTGGGAGGGCAAGTTCCCACCTTGCCATCTCCAGCGTGGCTGTGTCCTGGCCCCACCACCGCCGTGTGCAACCACCTTCGAGATACAGACCCTGCCCACTTGTTTCTGGACTCTTGGCCTGGACTTGTCTATACAAAACTCTTCTTCCTGGGAGGATTAACGTAACGAATGGGATGCAGGGAGGTCTTACAGCAGTTGCCAATCGGTTCCTGGCCGCAGCAGGTTTCACAGAGCCTGGATGCCCGCAGTGCCATGTCTTTCCTTGATGAGAGCACTAAGGCAGGTTAATAGATCTCATGGTACAGACTTACCCTGCCTCAGTCCCTGAAGGTCTCTATATTCTTCTTGCCCTGGATCCAATTTTATTCACTATCCTTAAAATCATCTCAAATTAAGAGAAGGGCTGCGGCCCGGCACTTGGACTGGATGTCTGAAGTTGCTCTGGGTGTGATTTATTAACAGCAGCAGTTGGCATTCAGTCTCCCATCTGTCTATATGAAGCCTCCTGCTCAGTGCTTAGCCTCGGTACAGTGCCTACGAAGCTGCCTACGAAGCTGCCTACGTCCTCGTGCTCCAGAGCGTGCCAGGGCTGCGGACGGCGCAGGGCTCTGAGCAGTGGACGGGGCGCTCTCAGCTGCGGCATCCCCCGGCTTTCGGGGGCGCTACAGCTGAAACACACTCCAGAGCACCCGGGAAATGCTGGAAGCTAAAATAACCGTGGCCACACCGGGGGCTGCTGTGGCATCTGTGGTGACTCCCGGTGCTATGGCAAGTCAAACTGATTTCTCTGCTGCTGGTCCCGTGTATATTTGCACATGATCCTGAAATGTTCCGTGCTGTTATAAATAGCCCTCTGTCAGCAGCCAAGTGGCAGGTACTTGTTTCTTGTCAGTGCAGACGCTGCCATGTGAATGTGCACCGCAATGCAACAGCCGCCAGTGAAGGAGCCTCTCCTCTCCAGAAAGAGAAGAGTAGACAGGAACTCTTCCCCCTAGTCTGTGAGCTGGGCCCTTCCCAAAGCTCACTCAAAGTTTCCTTTGTAGATGAGGAGCCAAGCAGATGACTCACTGCACTATTCCATGTGCAGGAGTTATTCACTTCAAAGGAAATGAGCACAGCCTCCAACTGAGGTACACATTTGGTGACACTTGGGTGTTTGATGACCTAAAGTCCTTTGAAAATCCCAGTACAGTGAGCCTTGCTGGCCCTCTCCTGTGAGTAGCTCTTGTTACTGCTGGTGGACAGGTAGCTGTTACTGTCACCAAGCATCGAGCTGGGCCTTCAGCAGAAGCCTGGAGTCTGTACCCAAGTGGTTGGGCACAGCAAGCTGCAGGAGTAAGTCTGGAGAGCTCAGGTCCTTGGGATGTGCTGGTGCTCCCTGCCTGTCGGTAAGGAGACCGAGCACGTTTTACGTGTTCCGGATAGCTAAGGTGGAGTAAGCCCCTTCCTCCTAGTGTCCTTCAAGCACCGGACAAGCACATTTTGCTCTAGCTCCAGGCTCTTCTGCTACCTTCGGTACCCATGCCTTCTGCAAGAGGACTAGACCTGGAGGGAAAATTACAATGAAACTGTTGATTGCTTCTATCTGTGCCTTAAAGATCAGAAAGCCAGGAGGCCCCATCTCATGTTTTCTATGTTTCCCAAACAGAGTTTAATCACGTACTTCTGACCTTTTCCTAGGTAATTGCTGTGTGCTGAAGGATATTATGGTGTTTTGGGCTGACTTAGTTTTCCAATGCACAAAAAAAAAAGGAAAAAAAAGCCTGCCCACGCATGTGTGTAAGAAGATGATTTATTATTCTTGATTATCAGTTTGTTACTGTGTTTTTTTCAGGTTAATCACACTATTAATGTACTGAAACCTCCTGAACTGCCTTTTCACTCCATGGAGCCCAAACGGCACTTGCTTACCCCAGCCCAATGCACAATTAGGTAGATGATTGCAGCCCCAGCACGAGCAACTCCGTAATACTGTGAACCAAATGGCCTTGGGCTTGCTCCGCAGTCACCAGCTGATGAAGAACATGTCTTGGCAGCAGAAGCCTTGCTGCTGGGAGAGTCACAGAGCTGATGGACGGTGAGGCAGGAAAACAGATTGATTTTTCTACAGCTGAGCTGTCTGGCAAACTGCAGTGCAGATGAATGGGATGGGGTACAGTTTTGATCTGGGGAGGGAAAAGCAGGAAGAGAACAGGTAGGTAATTTGGATAAGCCTGATCCAGCAGGGAATTGTGCCTTTGTTAGGTAAGGCCACACACGGGAATACCATCTTGCCAAAATGGACCAGCAGCCTTGGGGCTCTTGCTTGGCAGAGGCATTGGCCTGGGTGGGTTGTGCTGGTTTCACCTTCCTTTTGTGGCCTTCCTCACTGTGTGGATAGGACCATATGTACAGGGGTGCTAAAGCTCAGGTTCCCAAAGCTGTTTCAAAATCTAAAAATAGGGATTGGTTACTAGATTTTTTTCCATTCATGCTGTAAACAAATCAGCTCCAGCTGGTAGCTCTGTCAGTGCACAGGTGCTTACAGCGTTACCTTTGGAAATCCTTAGTGTGGCGGTTCCTCTCACTGTCCAAGCCTGGGCTTCCAGCCCAGCTCAGCTGAGGGTGCAGGCACCCTCCTCTGGGGCAGGAGGCACGGCCTCGCTCCGCAGCCGTTCTAGGAGGAAAAGCTGGTTTATTCTGCAGGTGGGAGTCCTGCAGCCGGCTGGTGTGACAGTCCATCAGGGATGTGCATGTCAGCCCCTCTCGTTATGTATCGCCCTCAGAGCCCCCAAGGCAAACAGGGTACTTGCTAGAAACCCAAACAAAATTGTCTGGCTGATTTCCAGCCTCATCTTTGTTTGGATGAACAAGAGTTTGTTTGAGAGGGATCCCTCCAGCACCCACATGTTCCCTCGTGGCCTAGAAATATCTAGCGACTCTTTACCACATCTTGAAGCTACTTGGCGTCATTGTACTGCAATGTATTGCATTATTGTCACAGTATATTTTCCTGTTCTCCAGAGCCTGTAGTAAGCATCCAAATTAAATTGAGGCCTCAGACATTTTTTTATATATATTTCCAAGCAATATTGATAATGACTGAGATTTTCACTGCAGTCTGTCATGTTTCCAAACATCTCTCAAAGCACCAAACAACCTACATATGCAGGAATTACTTCATCCATCACCAAAATTCAGCCACCTGAAAGCAGTGCCTGAATGGGGGTGCACAACAAGGCTACTCAGTGCTTTGCGACAGAGAAAGCTGAAACGAGGAACCAGGGGAGAAGTTTTACAACAGGGAAAACATCACTGAACTGGTGATCCCACTGTGGAACGGGAGTAATGCTCCTGTTCCAGCAGAAACCACAGAACTGATATTAGCCACAGATTTGGTGCTGCTCATAGGAAAAACAATCATTTTTCAGTGTATGAAAAGATCTACTTTGTCTTGCTGTCATCATATCATTTAGATATGGAGCAAACAGACGTTATGTGTGTGTAAAGTGCAGTTCGCTCCCCAGGTCCACTGTTGTCACAGTTTAGTGGCTTGAGACTTCGTGGCTGAGTCCATGATGCTCCCTAATGCCGGGAGGCCAAGTGGCTTCGCACACGGCAGATGCTCCAGCAGCTGGAACGGCAGGGGCAGCACCTACGCGGGGAGCACTCACGCATTCCACAAGGAATGCATTAAAGTTTCCAATCACATTCCTTGCAGAGAACAGTAGATTCCCTTCGCTTTTTAGCTCAACCTCTGATTAGAATCGGACAGCAAGAACTGTCAAGGAATTACTATTGAGACTGGTCTTGGTACAGAAGCGGTTAATATCCTCCACTGAAATATTTTGTCATAATAGAAAAAAATATATATAAATAGAGTTGCTTTTCTTATTCCCATCGCTTCAGCTCCTCATATTCTTGCAAAAGTGCTAAGGCCGCAACATTCCCTCACCGCTGCCCTCGTGGCAGCATAAGGCGACATGTTCATCTCAATGAACGCTAACACAAGCTGGCACCAGAAATATGATTTCTTGAAAATTCTGTTCACAAAATCAATTCTTACACTGTAAACCTAGCTCCCTCCTTCTGGTGTAATTCCATCAGCAGCAATCTTTTTTTCCCAGAATTTAAGTTGCCCTTGATTATTTGGGATGATATTTGGGGCAAATTCTTGATCTGTCAAGCCCTCAAGAAGGACTAGTTTGTGCAGCTGAAAGTTTGGTTGATTTTTTTCTCATGTAAACTCTACTGACATATTGCCTTGGATTTCTAACACTCAGTTCATAAATTTAAATTACCCCTGCCCCGCCAAAAAGAATTCTGTTTAAAACAAAAACTAGCAATGAATAATTAATAACTACGCACCGAAAATCATTTAGCAACACACAACAGTCACATCATCACAAAGCGTCAAAGTGATTTGTGTTAATGAATTAAGTCTCAGAAGAGAGAAATCATCTTGCTTCCTATTAAAAGACAATCATCACAGGTACTACGGGCTTCAACACTGAGGCTTTTTAAAAGAGCAGACAATTGCAAAACACAACAGTTTAAGTCAGGGATTGGAGAATAATAATGCATCCAACTGAAAGTACTAAAAGAATTTAGAGAAGAAGAGTGTAATTACCTGATCTGGAAAGAAGCCAGACACAATGTTTAAAATCTCATTTCTTATGAAAAGTGTCTTGGAATCTTTAATGACTACAAGATTAAAAATACATTTTTATGTGTGTGTATGTGCTTAGAAACTAAAACAAAAAGAGACAAGGTAATCTGCATTTTTTTCCTGATTCTAGAAACATCTTGTGAGTTATTGCTTGATGCAGAAACCAGTTTGACACATGCTTGGAGTTATGATCCAGTGCAGAACAAAAGAAGAAAGATACTATTCTAAAACAAAAGCCAGTCTTCAATATTATCAAGAAAGGTACAGGGTTTTTTTGTTTGTTTGTTTTGGAAAATGAAAGACAATGAATTTAAAAAACAGAAAATGTTGCTAATTTTTCTCTAGTGAAAGTCATCTGTAGAAATAGCAAAAGAAAAATAAAGTGCCTTTGTTGTCTTCACGCTCTGCAGAACGGTCATTCTTTTCTGAAAAAAAAAAAAAGCCTGACTGAACTGTGAGTCACCAGTTTCATCCATTATCTTCATTTCTTCTAAGTCCTCCTGAAGCTTCAGATGCTGACAGACCTCAGATATGGACATAATATTTGTGAAATACTGAACTTCTCATGACTAAATACGTTATATGAGGGTTTATGTACCCAAAAACCCTGGAGGACAGTAGGGATTTTTTTTTGGTGAGGGCTGACAGTGGGCACAATTTGTGCTCTTTGATTTATCAGCCAGTCTAGCTGAGGCAGAACAGCAGAAGACGAAGTAATTCTGTGTCAGAAAAATTTCAGCAATTTATTTCCCCATGGATGAGATGGGAACGAGCCTTAATCTTATAAAGACATTTTTCCTCAGTCTTCTGTTGAATGTGGAGTATACGACACTACTGGAGTAGTCAAGTCTACGGTATTAAGAAATCTGCACTGGACAAGTAATGGGGTGCTAGGATTAGTTTTGGGATAGCCTCTTCCTCCGTAATATACAGTGACAAATACATGTACCATGAATCTGGGGAGAATAATAGCCAAGTTAGAAGTATTTATGATGCTAATTCATTTCAAATCCATTGTAAATAGAATTAAAACTGTGCAGACAACCCTTATTCATGCAAATATGCAAATGTAAGTCTAAGAATTGGAAACACATTTTTCTCAATCAAGAGTTTTTTTTGTCAGAAGTTTAAGTGAATTGAAAAGCTGACGAAACATCTTTTAGAGTCAAAGGTCTCACATGACTCACACCATGAGGTGAGGCATTAGCATTTGAGTTAAAATGTAAAGTAAAAAGACATGTAAAAAGTAAATGTAAAAAAGTAAAAATAAAAAGAAATGTGACCAAATGAAATTTTGTTTTCAATTGAAACTGTTTTTTTTTCCCCATTTGCTTAGTAACAAAATAATCCACCATAAACACATTGAATTTTTTTGGTTAATCCCTGCTGTACTTTCAGAGAATTTGACTGAAATTTGGTGCAATTATAAGCAGGATATTTGTGCTGGCAGAAAAGGGTGTCATAACTACTAGACAGAAGCAGTGAGTCTGAAAATCACAGTCATCCAGGAAGAAAACAATGCGCCACTCACTGACCATCGTGATTTTAGGAGACACACATCTGATTCAAATGGTTTGCTGCAAACTAATTTAAATGAGTTGCTTTGCCTACAAAACATGAGAATAAACTGTGAGTTCAACTCCCATTAGCAGCACATGAACATCTTCAAACAATATCTGGAAGGGAACAGCAACATTCCTTCACTGGAAGGTTGCAGGGGTCAGTGGAAAGTCTCATGATTTCATAGGCTTTGCAGAGGCTTCCGGTGATTACCCAGATTGCCAGTTTCCAGGCTTGGTTTGAAACACATATTTGTGACTGGAGCTCCTCACCCCATCTTTATAGCTTTTTTTTTTTATTGAAGTGAATATCATGCTGGACTGGCAGACCCACTAAGCCCATTTAGTTAATCTCTGGGACCAGATGAAGGTCACCCTGCCAAATACTCATAATTCCTGTTTAGCTCTCTAAATACACACTTGATTCATTGTCTCATGTCCCCTCCATCACTGGGCACGGAAGAGGCATAGCAGCAGACACTAATTCCTCCCTGCAGTGATATGAGTCACTGTCACAGCCCTGACACGGCTGTGGTGGCAAAAATGATGATTTACACCCCGAAAGTGTCAGGTGGAACTGGCATTCAGGACTTCGAGCAGCCCAGGGTTGGGCTGAAAAGGGGCTGCAGGGAAGCAGGAGCATTGGGAGCACAGGGCATCCTCCTCCCAGGTACCCCCAAGAGACGTCCTGGATGGTCACAAACCTCTGTGCACCTCTGTGGATCTGAGCTCAGCACAGGAACTCGGTTTCCAGCTGCTGAGGCTGCCTCCATGTTGCCTCAACAATGACAATGACTGAAGGAATTCTGGGATTTTTTTTTGATTCATCTTCATCTTTTTTAATGAAGAACAACGGATCCCGCTCCACTTCCACCATGTCCCACAGGAAATCCTTACTTAAGTGTGAACCAAAGCAGGGAGCATCTTACTGTGTTGACCTCCCTATCCCCTTGGGTTTCACTTAGTGAAAAAAACACAAAACCCAACAAAACGCTGTGGTTTATTCATCTACACAAGCAATTTAGGGCAACATTTAAAAAAATATAATTCAGTGTGAGCTGAGGTAGCAGCCTCCTCACACATGCTGCCAGCCTGGACTCCCTATGGCTCTGGGCTGGGCTCAGTGCCGAGGACCTTACCGATACGTCAGTGCCCGCGGGGAACTCTTGTGGGGCACCAGGGCCCTGTGAGGGACTGGGACCATTGTGGGCCTTTGGCAACTGTTGGGAGCCTTGTGGGTTGTTGGGAGCAGTTAGGGCCTTGGGAGCTGTTGAGAGCTATTAAGCCATTAGAGGCTGTTGAGAGCCATTGAGGGCTTTTGGGAGCCATTGGGGGCTGTGGGGAACCGTTAGAACAGTTGGGAGCCACGGGGAGCCCTCAGGGGCTATTGGGAACCATTGGGAGCCATTAGGGCTGTTGGGGGCTGTTAGGGCCCTTGGGGACCTTTAGGAACCGTTACAGCCATTGGGAGCCGTTGGGGGATGTTTGGGGCCGTTAGGCACGGTTAGAGCCGGTGGGGGCCGTTG